CAGGAATTGAAATGAAAGCAACAATTCACTAAGCCATTCATTCCAGTAAATCCCAGTAATGATGGAGATTATTTAAAACTTAATTAGATGATAGAATCAAGGAGAATTTTAATTAAAAGATAATCAGTCTAGCAACAGTTTTCCTGGATTAATATTAGTTAATATTTCCGCATGTTTCTTTCTTAAATTATTCTAAATTATCGGCATTATGCTCGAGAAAAAATGAAAAATAACATTCTTTAAATTGAATTATAATATTGCTATTCATTCGTTCATAGAATATTTCCTCTCATTTACAAAATGCGAAAGAAAATGCGAACCAAAATAAGAAAAGGCAAGAAACTTTACTGCGAATTGCAATACATTGTGAAATGTTAGAATTATAAAATTTTCGATTGACTGTAAGCTCTGTAAATTAATGGTTGTAAATCAGTTGACCCCTCTTTTTATGAGTACCAACACTTTTCTGGGACCATGAGCTGTAGAATTTTCGCGAAGCAGCTGTTTCCCGATAGATGTTCGGATTCCCTTTTTAATGACATATCTACTCGTCTACCAAATCAAATCAAGCCCATGATGACTTGATTTAAGAATATCGAAGCAATATCCTTTCCCTATGTTTTAATTTAAATTCTTATAACCAAAAGCAAATCGCTAATTAAGGCTCATTTTTCGAGTTTAATTTGATTACCGATTCACTTCGTTTCAAATACGCTCACTATACATGAATAAACATGCATTTCAATAGAGAAACGAATGAAGGAAGGAAAAAATTTCGAAAAAATTTTTTGATTTCCTAGTAAATTTATTTATGCCATAAATTTAATAAAATTTTGCTAAATTTGTATAAATAATAAATGAAATCCTAAAATATATTGGCGGGTTCCTTTAGAAAATAATAAGAAAAATAAGGAATTATTTATTATAATATTGAGTTTGGAGCAGCATAGCAGAAGTGTGTTTTTTCGATTAAAATCGAATATCGCGGGCTCGACCTCATTCATTGGTGGGAGCGAACGTCCCATCAAAAGGAAATACAAATGGTGCTGCTGGTCTACCTGTACCTGCCTTTCATTCAGATCTTTGACGAAAGAATTTTGCTTCAATAGCTCAAACCATAAATGCTGGACGCTTTTAGATTATGATAATCATATTAAATATTTAAACATTTAAGCGATGCAACTACTGTATGGATATCCGAGCAGTTGATAGCTATTGCGACATAGACGTTATGCGATGTGCAAAGTTGAGGCCAAAATCATTGTTATATTGTTTAACGGTCGATGAAATTTCGTATAATTCTTACATCAACAGACAGGTAATTTTTTAAAAATTATTTTAAAATCATTAAAAACAAAAAAATAGCTATTTTTTCTGTAAATTCTCATGTCTAAATAAATTCATGGAGCTGTATTGAAAAAATGTTTTCACATAAAAATGTATCTTTAAATGTAAATGTGTGTATTCATAAATGGTTGCCATTCGAGTGCGATCATGCTATAGATGAGAATTTATGAGATAATTTTGTCCATAATTCGCCGAAATTCCATTTAATTTAATTGAAATATCATATTAAAATCTCTTCAATTGCATTGAAAACATAATGTTTTAGCATAATTTAGCAAATTCTAAAGTGAATATGAATATGTTATCAAAAAAATAGCTTTTATATTCATATTTTTTGAAATATATTTCTTGAAGAAAACAGTAGAACGTTTAGATTCAATAACGAGCAGTATAATCAAAAAAGACTTTTTTTCTGTAATCAATTAACAGCTGTTTTCAGAGTTGAAATTCATATGGGCTGATTTATATAAGCATTGGACTATTTTTTTCTAAGTATTTCACCTCCTCAATCATTTTTTTAGTTTTAGGAAATATAATCTAAGCTAATTGCTCTTTTGTCGCAGTTAATATTCATGCTTTTTCATAAAAAAAGTGTATGGTAAAATCGAAGAAAAAAAAGTTTGGAGTTTTCTTAATTTTATTTTTTGATTACTTTGATTATTTTTTCTTACTTCTAGTACTTGTAAGAAAGATGGTGCTAAAAGAAAATGAGATTCACCAAAGTGAGATTTATTTTTCAGCAAAGTAAATTTTCGCATTTTAGGTTAGATGCCTGTCGCATAAGGATTTTAATTTGCCAGCAAGTATGATTGGAATCGTTTATCGCTTAGGAGCATGCATAAATCGTTCTATGCAAAGTTGCAATTGCAGTACTTGTATTGTGCAGGTAGTATCACGATTAACTACAGCGTCAGGGATAACACCTGGCTCCGATTTAAGAGAATTTTTTCAAACTAATATCTCAGCGAATGTGAAGATGCAGACGAAGGACTCTCGATCACTTAATATCAGAGAACGACATACACATTCTAGTTCAACAAGTTTTTGCTTTAAAAGCCGTTGGTTTTCTTTGTTCTCACTTGCATTTGCTTTAATTTGTTTTTTTCATTATCAGTATATTACTTTTTTATTTTATTTATTATATCGTCAGCTAGATTGTTCGCCTCATAAATCTTATATCGTCGAATTCATTTAAATTTGCTTTTTGATATTTTACAAGAAATTGTATAATTTATAAAATATGGTTTTAAAATATAGAGAATTTTTATTAAAAAATCTTTAATTTCTTTCAATTTTTAATGCCGAAAGCGTCGGTTAGTAAAGATTTATACCATTCAATTTCTTATTTGAAAATTTAAAAAATAAAATCTGGTTAATCATAGGAATCCATTGTTGACAAATAAACTGTGTTTTAGTAACAAAATTATTAAAAGATTTAACGCATAGTTCTCATTAATATTAATTAACTCTAATAGGTAATAATTAAATGGTTAATTTAAATTCAAAATTCAACAAGTGGAAAGTTGAAATGAATTGTTGGAGGTTTACCACATTATCCGTTCATTTCATAAGTCGGCTTTTTATATTGAAAAAATAAAAGCAAAGAAATTAATTATTTCATTTTGCATTTTCTAGTTATTTATGTCTTCAGATAATTCGTTGATAATCGGAAATCGAAATATAACTTCGGACAGACATTTAGATAAAGTTAAAAATAACTATTTGATTTTTAATTAGTTTACTATTTTCTCAGTTTATCGGGCAATCAATTTGTATTTTTCCCATTTTTTCATAAAGATTAAAGGATGATTTGTGATGACTAATGAAATAAATGACGTGAAATACTTCATGCTGGTTTCATGCAATAATTGTGTTTCGAGCAATAAAATTCGAAAAACTTTTGTGGGAGTTAAACAATATTTTTTCGTAAATTGAAAAAATAAAAGCAAAAAAAGATATGTTAATTGAATAATGCAACGTATTTTCATTTCAGAGCCATTTGAAGATTAAATGCATCTTCTGAAGTAACGATTTAAATAATTGCTGGCGAGTTGAGGTCGAAGTACAATACTCGAAATAATATGTGAGCAACGAGTACTTGCATTCTGTTCCTTATAGTAAGATGTATAACATATAAAATTAGCTTCAAAAAAAAGCCAATTGTGATGTTTTCTTTTTTTGACAATTTGTACCGTAACTGGTTAGACTGGCTGTGCTGGCTATAAGAGGTACATTTATATATAGATATAGAAAAATAAAGGCTGTTCCTTGAATCTTTAAACATTTTAAGAGATCTACATGATGGAAACTTTCTAAATAGAAACGCATATTTTGAAATACAAATGCTTTAAAAAGCCATGCAAATTAGAAATCGAATTTGCTTTTGCAGAATTTGGAGTTTAAAAAATAAAAAACAATCATAAAGATGCTCATCGAGTTAATTAAATTCTCATGATTTCTCATAATCAAATCAAAAACTTTTTAGAAACTTTTATTTATTTTGAAATTTTTTCAAAATCTTTTAATCGAATTGAATATTCGAATTTAAATAAAAAATATAAAAAACAGCTGATCCACTAAAAAATCTCTTCAAATCAATCCAAAAAGTTCATTAAAATTATACGAATCAAATTAAATATATTTTTTTAAAGATCTATTGGGGAATGCTTTCTTCTAAAAATGTTTATAACATCAGCATTAACATTAGCAGTTATTACATCGATATTGCATTTAGTATATTTAGCAGAAATATTTGATGCATTCACGCATATTGAATAAAATTAACACAGAACCATGGAAAAAAGTTAATTATTTAATTGAAATAAATGTAATAGTGTTGATTAATTCAGCGAATATTTTTAATTATTTTTAACGATAAAATCAAAATCAAACCTATTTTGAGAAAAAAAATACACAAAAAATTATTATTTAATAATTTCGCTAAAACTATAATCGAAAAGAATTAAGCAATAAAAGCATTCAAAGAAAATTGCTGATCGTATCTCGCACCAAAATTTAATTTTTTAAAAATAGATTTATAGTTTCTTTAACAAAATTTGTGTTTGGAGGCCAACACCCAAGGGGTTTCATTTTTAATGACAGATTTATCATCGTCAAAATACTCAAGGAAATGAATTCATGGCACTTGACGTTAAATTAAACAATACACTATGAATTCTTATAATTTATAAAGATAAAATATCCGGCTCTGTTAATTAATACAGCATACCAGATTTCTAAGATTTCAAGGAACTTTGTTAGATTATATCGGTTGATTTCAATAATTTGAATGATTTTCTGCAAAATTATTTGCTTTTTTGGATTTTATTTTACAATTATTTTCAATTTTCTGAGTTGTTGCTTAAAGTTTTATTGAATATTTCTTCATTTTAATTTTTTTCGCATGAATTTTCAATATTTTGATATAGTATTTGCGTGGTTGCAACGACATATGTGAAGCTTGTTCATCAATTTAACTTGTTAGTATTATGAGACTTACGCATTTCATTTCGCTAATTCCTGGTGTACAAGTATAATAAGATTTATGATCACTGAATGCCATATATTATATATACATTTATAAATAAATAAATATGCATGCTTTCATCGATCAGAATTAGTCAATTCGATGCAAAAATTTGCTTAAATTTATCTTATTGTGGGATTAAACATAAAGCACGCTCTCGATCCTTCTTAATTTGTGGGATTTTTTGTCCCTTAATAAGATGCCAGCGAAAATAAACGATAGAATCTGATGCACTATTTGTTACGACTAATAAATTGCTCAGTTCAACACATAACTGATAAATTGCACCCGTTGCTACTTCAGATCCACTAATTCTTTCCCATATATTCACCAATATTAATGGACTTTTACATATTAAAAATTTAAGCGCTACTATTATGAGCATTTTTGTCGTTCGTTCTGAGGCTGTTGAATATTTATTCGCTGTTTCTCGCCTGAAAATATGATATTTTTATGTGGCGCTAATAACTAATTTGACATATTTATTTCAAACCACATTAACTCCATTAATATTATGGATAACTCCTTTTTCTAACGGTACTCACCATTTCCAGTTTGACTGTATTTCTCCACTGAATATTAAAATGAGATCTCTTTGCATCAGATTCACTAGGGGATATAAGCATAGACGAGTTCAAAATCACTGAAGTGGACTTCACAGGTTCTGATAGCAAATTTAAGGAGGATTTATCGTAAATTAATGAAACGAAGATGAAGATCAAAGATAATGACACTGGTAATACGGAAATATTGCGAATGAAATATTTTGCATATAGAAGATTTGAGAATCAATTTTAAAAAAATTTTGATAGGTGATGAAACGAATTTTACTTGTTTATCGAAGCTGCTAACTTTAGTCATAACAATATTTTGACTTTATTCCGATGACGAAAAAACATCGTTAACCTTGTTTAACATCAAATTTAGCCAAATTTTTTATATTTTCTCATCTTTCAGCATCATATTAAAACAGTTTCTCATTGCTACAGGTAGGCCTCTAAAGTAAAAAAAAGTGTATCATCTACGAAATAGATGATTCAGATGCTCAATAATTATTAGTTCTACGGTAATTCTAGAACTAATTTGCATCCTAAAATTAACTGCCTTCTTTATTGACAATGATGATAAATAATCCAGGAAGTATAAGGAAAACAAGAAATATGCAGAAAAGTTTTGATGGAAGTTTTGATGAAGCCAGCAAATTTTTATAATATATACTGCTCCCACATGTAAAGCTTTTTATTTTTTATCCATATTCAATGACTGGTTGAGCATTTCTTAATTTAATTAGATATTTTCAAACCATCATTACAACGCATTTTCTACATTTTCATAAAATAAATAAACTTATTAGATAAAAAAGGAATTTCAGACCGTAAAATCTTGGAAACTATGGGTCCGCAATCTTGAATCCCTGGATTTATCCCACAAACATACAGATCACGGATCGGCAATTTGACTACCAAGTCAAATATTATGGAAATGCATTACAAATATGCAATGCATTACGAATATCTCTTAATTATCATAAAATAAAATTTATATTTTCATTAAAATCGTAGAACCAATTATAGAAAACAATTTAATTTAAAATTATTTTTAGAAAATGGAAAAATGTACGTTGCTATTCCCATTCTTATTCTTTATATTTACACTAATGAAAAAAGAGAAAGTGGGTTTTTTCTTTTCTCTTTTTTCTTTTAAAGCGAAAAGCAAACCAAGAAGTTTCACAAAATTTCTTGTAAATTGTAATAAATTGTGATGAAGTTTTGATCTTCATTAGGAGTAAAAATTTCGGGAAGTTGATCGAAAACAATCTTAATTTAGATGATAAATCTTAATGAGAATGCCTCATCCTTGGAAGTCCGTGGAACCAGCAAAACCAGTAATGGTGAGCTTTATTACTGGATGAAGATAATTCGCGCTTAAGGGGAATAATGGATTTTCGAAATTTAATATGTTGCATTAATGCAAATAAGACGAGAAGTTTAATGAATTGATCTAAAGAATGTATTTGCGTTAAAAAAATTCAAAAAATTTACCTGATTTTTATTTCTTGAAATAATAATCGTGAATTGGTAATTATATAAATCATTTGAAATGAAAGAATTGTTATGAAAATAAATGGGCCAACTGTTATGAAAAGCATATTCATAGTGATTAAATAGAAAAATATATAATTTTCATTAAGCCTTAAATCGGTTGGCGTTGCAATTAATACAGATTTGTTACCAAAACATCCTTTCGATAAATGTAATTCGAAGGCGCTTGGTAATGAGAATAAAAATGCTAGAATTATAAGAGATATCGATATCAATAAGGCACGTTGAGAAGAATCGTGTACTCGATGTTGTAATGGACGTGATAATGCCAAATATCGGTCAAATGTTATTACTAACAATATCCATACAGAAACCGTTATTGATAACAGTGATATTGGATGAAATATCACTGTCATGTATCTGCAAATTTTACTAGATATTTCATATTCTCATAAAATAAGTAGTAAATCTGCTAATTAAAATGAAAATGAAAAATCCAAAAATATCTAGGAAAACAACTTCAAATCCATGTGTCAAACATGGAATTTTTTCCATTCGTGAATTTTTTTAAAAGTCATATGACGCTGTGGTTCATTTACAAATAGAATTACTAATATAAGTCTCATTCCTTCTTCAAACCAGGTCATTGCTTCGCTCGCCTCATTTATTTACTTCAACGAAATTTTTTCATTAAAAAATCATGGGATTAGAAATATAATTCTTGAGCATCATTCGAATTTTACTTTAAATGACATATTTATCCATGTAAAGGTGTGAAAATTAAATCGACTACTATTAATTTTTAAAATGGAAATGGACCTCGAGGTTTTTTCGCTAAAAGTTGGTACTTAATAGCTTAACAATTAATGGGAATGGATTTTCATGAATTTCTACCAAGCTGCCACTTATTTCCGTTTTTTCTCATCAAAATATTATTAAAAATTAGTTAATATCACACTTTTACTCATCCAATTTGATTAACGAAAAAACTTTTAATGAAAAAGTTTTAATGAAACCTAATAAATTATTGTCACACCGTTGTAATCGCATGGACTTTCATGATTTCATTAAATGATGATTTCGCGTTTCGACGCGATTGCTGGATAATTAATTAAACATTTTCGAATACTTATAATCTAAATTCTTAAAAATTTTCGATAATTTAGATTAGAAAGAAGAAAAGACTTCGGTAAAAATTAAAAATTTGATGACGAAACTATTACTTTGCTTATCTGAACAAGAATAAGCTCATTAAACAAAATGGCTGCTAGATAAAAGAACTCATCTGCACCATTGTTCCTAAGTGATGGCTAATAAGTGAAGTAAATTAAAAACGACGACCTATTCCGACATGCAAGGTATTCTTAACGCGTTGGTGATAAATATGCGAACTGGCTTCGGATATAACAATATTAAAAAAGTCAAATTTTGGAGCTGATTCTGAGCTAACTGGTTTACCGCATCTAAGTAAGTCGGACAAATGAGATTATCGTTGACCATTCCTGCGTGGAGCTTCAGAACGCTTATGAATATAAGAATCTAGCCGATAACCATTCATTATACACATATCGCTTGTATACTGGAAATCTGCCTCTCTTATTCAGGGTCAACAGGTACTATCTAGTTTGAATGAATTGATTGCATCATAGTAGTGTTTCGGGAAAACTAAAAGAAAAATAGAGGCGCAATTGTTTGTCATCTGAAAGGGTAAGATCAACTCTGAATGTATGGAATCCTGTTAATGATCGGTTAGCTTACACTCGTTTTAAAGGCATTGCGACATCTCTATTAGTGTTTATGTTTTGGTTTGGATAGAGAAAGATTCCGATTCCGAACTTCACTGAACTTAACTTGCTAACAGAGTCTCGAAAAATGATGAAATAGATGATATTATCAGGGTGGATTGAAAATGAAACTCATAGAACATGAGAATTCCTCGTTATTTTTCGTACTCTAGAAGTATGCGGCTGAGATCCGACCATGTACCAACTGCTGTTATTATGCTGAAGAGCATAAGCTTTTTGCCACCAATACTTTCAGCATTGCAGAAGACATCTATTTCGTGGAACGCCAGACAAACAACACTCAAATGACTAATTTTAATCAGTGGAAAATTTACAAAGTGCCAGATAATAGCATATTTTTAGTGATGCTGAAAATAGAAAAAATAGAACACAATTCAAATAAAAAAACTTGAAACGGGTTGAACCACCTTATTGAGGTTGGGGTTAGAACCAAAGTTCGAATTAAAATGCCAGCGCAAAAAACACCGCATGCCCTAAAATCTTTTGACTATTTTGTTAAACGATATATTTCTTACCGAAACAGTGAAGAATTTTAACAACCTTAGTATCTCTGGAACTAAGCACTGGTTAGAGTTGAAGTCCTTGCTCCAGAAACTGGCATAATCTGACTTAAGATAGACTCGAAGCTAGGCCAGACGAAAGTGTCCAACCGTACTGTAAAAGCGAAAGTCTCAGGAGATGTTAGATAGTCGCTCAATAGACTCGAAATGGTGATGAGAAAAAAATCGATACTGTGATGATGTTGCGCTGAATATGGAGATTCTAGTAGGCTACCATCGAAAATTCCTCTATTCCTAATTCCTCTATTTTTTTGAAAGCAATTGGATTTAGAGAAATGGTCAGTGAAATTTTTTGTGCGTAAATCAGCGCATGAGGAATTGATACAAACGTTCGCAATACGTAGCCTTTGCGCCAAATTACGGAAGCTACTTGCCAGCACTCAACAATGCAAAAATTAGCCCAAAGCATCACGGACCTTGAATAATGCCTATTTTGCTGATAACTATTGGGAACTGATGCTAGATCGGGGTGTTAACAGCAACAAGAAAATTGGGCCTTTAAAATAAAACGGAACACGGAATTCTTTTCGCCTTATATACGAAATGTTATAAGAAGGCAATTCAAATCAATTTAAATAAATCCAAGGCCGAGTTAAGAAGTGCCGGGGTCTTTAAATGTCTCGGATATTCCCATACATTCCCCTATCTAATTGTCAAGCGTAAGATAAAATCCCAGATAGGAAGATTGCAACCAGAGATGTTTTCTTTCGTTGGAAATTTTTTTCTTGAAATCTCTATGGAATCGCCGCGAAATTAATGACAAAACAAAAGTATCTATATGGCTTTTCGGCTGTAGTATCCACAATTATATTTAGTTGGGATACTTGGAATAGTGAGAGATAACGGAAGATATTATCAGGAAGCCATCTATTTTTGACCATTCTTGTCTAAGATAAATATTATTCACTACATGGACGTAGCCTCACTTGATTGCATTCACCTTCGCTCGAATATCACCTACATTAAGAATATCATCAAAAAACGTCGACTGCGCTTTCTTCATTGTCCATTACAGCATGAATTGACGCATATCTCTTGATAAACTTAATAAACATTGTAATGGATAGTGTCAAAGGCTTGAACCTATTAAAGAAGATTTGAACAAGTGATGCAGCGATATATAGGCTTAAGCAGTGGAAAATAGAGTGACTTTAGTTGGTTGACATCACGGCCTTGGAAAATTTCCTAGTAACCAGTCGAGCGAGCCAAACTGGCCTGTGCTGTAGGCCTCTAGAAGAAATTAGAAATTCTTTTAAAAAATATATTTTTTCCTTTCCATTAAAATCTATGCTAATATGCTAACTCAGTTATCTAATATTAATTTATGCTTAAGCAAGGAAAGATTGTTGTGAATAGCAATTATCAGCAAGAAAAAATATCTGAAATGGCCATTCTCGCTGGTAAATTAGCTTTAATTTTGAATAAAAAATTCTGGAATTAAATTTTTGATTCGAATCGATTTCGCGAAATCGATTCGAAAAATATATTTTCTTAGTGAATTCATTTTTTAGGGTTACATCGTTCAACAAAAGTGAAAAATTGAAAAATTTTAGAGTGATCATTTTGTATAATAAACAAAGAATGTAATATAAATAGCCAGTAATAACAAATTATTAAAAATCAAAGATAGCCAGCATTTAACTTTTCATGCTAATAAATATAGAACAAAATTCTCAGGCAAATATCCTTTAATAATTTCCCTTTTAATATAAATTTTTGGTTTGATAAAAAAAATTATGAATTAACTTTTGCTTTAAATAATCGCACATAGCCTTATTTCTAATGAATAATGGATTTCTTGAAAAAAACAACTACGAAGATGCTTTTCCAAATATAAAAATAGGGAAATAAAAAAATCCATAAAGTTTAAAATTATTTATGATTGGATCAGAAGCTGGTATTTTTTAAAATCAATTTTAATAATTACACTTAAGTTAAATGCACTTGTTTGATAAGGATGAACTTACTGGAATTCGTCAAAAATTCCAAAAATCGGCCGGATTGCTTCTCCAAGTGAATAATACAATACACTACACGAAGAAATAGCAAAATTAGCAGCAGTGTGAACGGATAAATAAATACGAATGGATAATCGTATCTCAAGTGACTGAATTATTTTTAAACTATATAAATTAGTCGAAATTCCAAAAGATGCTATGAGAAGAGTAAGAGGGCCAGTGATGAACCATATCAACCAATCGACATCATTATGAAGGCAATCTACTGTAATATTCATCACATCCGTACTATTCGATCGAATCAACCACAGTTCAAACCACAAATAAATACAAACATTTTGAACTGCAATAGTTTTAATTTTTACTTTCTACAAAATAGTAGTGAAAAGATGCTAAATCGATGGAATGAACTATTTAAAATACTTTTCATTGTATAAAATTCTTATTATACAAACATTAACGTGATAAATTAAAGGTTTTTTTAGTTGATTGACTGAAGACGAAATATGCAATTTAGAAAACAAGGATCCTCGCCAATACAAAGGCATTGCTGATAAAATCCCCATTAAAATCTTCAAAATCCTCAAAATTTTTAAATTCATTATATTTTATAGGATGTGCCTTATAATGTGCCATATTCATAGTGCCTTAAAAGAAGAGGGAAAATTGCCAGGGCTGAATAGAACTCGCACAAAACGTTTCTGAAAAAAAGTTCCGAAACAGTTTCGTGAAACAGTTAATAGATTTGCATATACCAAGCTAGTGCTAAATTATGCTGAATTCACCGTTTTTAAAATAATCCAACTTTGCTTGAGTGCAGGGTCTTCGGAATTACATATTTACTAGACTTATTGTCTATCATAAATAGCCAAAATCGATTAAGAGTTTGCAGCGCCACAATGACGCGCTGAGGCTGGCTGATTATTTCTTGGGCCATTGATGTGAGTAAGTCTGTCATTAAAAGTAAAATGCTGTTGATTGAGAGGATCAAATGTGAATTCGATTTCTGCCTCGAAGATTGGCTTATACGATAGTGTTGTATTTGAACAGGATTCAGTTATATTATATAATTATACACTAAAAGAAACGGTAG